CCGAGTTACACTTGCAATCGCTCGGTTGTTATCATCTAACTCACCGAGCTCACGTTCAATTCCGTCGATTTCACACATCCAATTGCCATCCCCGCTTCTTCCCTCGGGCCGTCCTGCTTCGCCTACGAAGGCAAACAAGAAGTTCGCCTCAACTGCAGGTTCAGCTGACTGTGGCAGCCCGGCATATTCCAACCCAGTCAGTGTTGGCGGGCCGCCGAGTTTAAATCACTCGGCGCGTAAAGGTTTTGCAGGTCTTCTGGCACTTGCGACTTGTCGACAGAGTTCTTCACGAACGCAGCCAGCTTCTCATATTGACGAAACAGCTCGCACTGGCCGCCTTCATGGACTTGTCTGCAGAATTTGCAGCGTCGTCGACAGTAGTGAGCCGAGTGCCCCATTCTTCCACAAGCTGCACAAGGTCCTCGTTGGGTGTTGTCGCGTGATCTATCTCCACGGTTCGACTGTTCTCGTTGGTTGTACGGTCGCGGAGGTCGGTTCGCTGAGTTTCCCTAGCTTCGGTTCGAGCCATTCTGGTCTCCCGCCGAGTTCTCTCGGCGGTCCGGTGTATTTCCTTTATCATTGGAAACGCCGGCGTCAATGTAGTCGTCGTCTTCCGCTGAGTCGTGTCCTCCGGACTGGTCCTCATCATCCCATTCGTCTTCGAAGTTGTACGGACTCGGCGGGTTCTGATCGATGAGTTCCTCTCCGTCGGAGTCAGCGTCAACGACAGTGACTCGGCGGTCGCGGTTTTCTTCCTTGCGACTTCGCTTCTCATCTCGGCGGCTCTGATCCTTCCGCTTGTCATCTCGGCCTCGTGCGATCACGAGTCGGTCGCGTTGCTTCTAGCGCTTCTCGCCGAGGATCCGACGATTGATTATCTGTTCCACCTTACTGATGTCTTCCAACTGCAAGGGGTACATCAAATCCATCACATCGTCATCACCACAATGCAGCAAGAAGTGTTCGACAATGTCAGATGCGTCCGCGCCACCCTTCTCGTACTGGATTTTGGCCGTCCGAGCATACCCGTTGAGTCGGATCAGGAAGTCGCAGATCGGTTCGTTGACTTTACGTCTCGCCGAGTAGTAACGAGTGCGGGCGGATTGGTCGAACTGTGAGCAATAATAATCCAGGAGCGCCTCGCTGAGTAGTTTCCAACGTCGCTGAGTCTTCTTCGGCAGCTGCCTGTACCAACTCTTCGCCGGGCGTCCCAAGCATAGCGAGAAAGGCTCGCACCATGCACTTTGGGGCATCCTGGTGCTCTTCATCTCGTAGATGAAACGCTTGAGCCACTGGAGCGACGCGTCAGAGCGGTAGCGCTTTCCTTCGAACTCGGCGATTTTGTCGAGCGAGGCGTGGGTTCGGACTTCGAGGTACTGCGTCGAGTCCTCTTCAGTCGCGTCAAAGCTCAAGTTTCGGATGTAGTCCTTCACGGTTTCTTCGCGGCTACCTCTCACGTCGAAGGCGTCGTCGTCCTCTTCATCCTCCTCGTAAGCCTCAGCCTCATCTGCAGCATCATACAATTCACGGTAACGACCTACATTTCGCTGCCCACGACTCGGCGCTCGCTGAGTCGGGTTTAGCTTCAGTGGAGTCAGCATGTGAGAGTCTTCGAAGTACGGAGTTCCTTGCGTAGCGCGGAACACTTCACGTCTCTTCGTCTCCGGGGTCTTCGGCAAAGGAATCTTGCTCGGGGCCTCGCCGAGTGGTTTGAACTCGGCTACTCGGCTGTACACCTTCTTCGTTCCACCAGGGGCCTTTTCCAATCCAAACGCCACTCTCAGCTTCTTCTTCCATTGCCAGAGTTCGGCTCCGCCACGGGTCAGACTCCAGTCGGACAGGATGAGGCTGTTTGGTCGGCTGTTGCACCGATAGCCCATCGCCTTCAACAGCAACCCAGTTTCTTCCACCAACTGGTTGATGTTGGCTGCACGCACCGGCTGAGTTAACTCGGGACCCAACATCGGCCACTTCGCCTGCGCCATCGCTACAGGCGCGAACATCATCATCCATTCCGATCTCGTTCTCATCTCCTCGCCGAGTCGAGCCAACACCTTATTGGCGCTCGGCGTATCGGCGTTCCTCGTCGCTTTCGGAATAAGGGGCGGACGGTCCCCTTGAGCAACGCCATGTTCTTCTTCATCTTCTTCATCGTCCGCACCTTCGTCGAGCTCGGCGGATAAGTTGCGCTCGACAGGACGTGGGGCTCCCATGCGTCCCACCTGCAGCGTCAACTCTTCCACCTCGCCAAGTAGCTCGGCGGTAGTCTTCGTTTCTCCGAGCTCAGCGGTCTCGGCCTTCTCTTCATACTCTCCTTCACTTGCATCTCCGTTCTTGATCTCCTGGTCTTGGCCATCCTCGTCGAACTGGACGGTTCGTCCCACCTCCATCGTCATGGCGATGAGTCGTTGATCCGCCGGGTCCGACCCCGCGAGAGGCGATCCTCCAGCCGTCGCTGGGCTTCCGTCGCTCGGGGTTGCTGATCCCTTGACCATCTTCACTCTTCTCTTTCTCTTCTCTTCCTCTTAATTTGGTTAGCTGGCACCTATAAAAACAAGCACACACTCCTGTTCCCGGGTCGCGGCACCAGTTGTGGTGTAGTAGAACACACAAATATCGTCAGATGTGGATTCCTTACACAAACCACAACGAATCGCCGAGTTAGGTCGGCGGTTTGTATGGCCTGCGCAGAGGGTGGTCCCCTCGCGGTCCGGCCCTTCCGGGACAGACGAGTGGCTCGCTTCCACCCGGTTCCGACTAACCAAGTCAGATCACTTCCGAGGCTCCGCCGAGTTTAGTTCGGCTGAGCTCGCTCACAACCCTGTGCCCTCCACCAAAGGATGGACGACGGCGCGCGAGCGCTTTTACAGGTCACCGAGCGCAGAGGCAGCTCAGCTAGAAGTGTTACGGCACCCGGGCTATCCGACGTACCGGCCCGCTGAGTATGCGGGACTTTCTTTCGCGCGTAGCGAGACTTTGTCCTACCCGGACCGACCTAATCTCTTGGCGCTACCAGTCAATACTCTACAAGCTATGCCTCTCGAGTATTGACGGCAGGCATAATCCAGCCCTATGCAGGGATTTACCGGAAAAGTGTACACGTGTCTTGGACTAGGAAAATTCTGCTCTGTTATCTTCTGGGAGCCCTTTCGGCTCCCCCTTTTTAATCCTATGCTTCTCATACAAATATCTAATGAAATGTAGTCGTTTCGGATCTCTACCGACCCTTCAGCTGAGTTCCGGCGACCGTTGAGCTCAGCGGCTGTCCGGATAGCATATCCGGACAGATCGCCGAGTACTTACCGTGATCCTTGGCTCCTAAGCTCTGGGTTATCAGACCGAGCCGATTCTTGACCTAAAGTAGGTCGGCGTATGGTCGAATCTGGAAATCCCTACACCACACTCACGTATAGCATCCGCGAGTGCGTCCACCGTGGCGAACGTGACATGGCGATCACGACTCGGGCAGGATACCACGACGCTGCACCACCTCTGAGATTAGCAGCCAGAATCGCGATAACACGCTGCTGGTTGGCAGCAGCCACGTAGTCGATGCCCTTGCCCTCCATGAAGAGCTTGGCTCGGAAAATAAACTTGTCGATCAATTCATCCGGCTTCCCGCTGAAGATCGGCATGGACACTCCTTCGAGGCGGTACTCCCGAGAGGGTTGAGGAGGGGGCACGACTTGCTGCAGCTGCTCCTGGTAGGCATGCAGCTGAGCCTGAAAATCTTGATGCATCTGCGCGTCCTGCTGACTGAGACCGACAGCGATTCGTTCGATAGCTTCGACAAACAGGTCAAATGGGTTGGGCGGAGCCGTTCCAGCCGGCATATAATCCACGTTTCCGGATTCTTCCATGTTGGATCGTAGCGTGACGAAGAGCAAGGGGTTCCAGAGGATTGAGGGTGAAGAGACGACAGCTGAGGACTTGACGAAGCGTTCCCTTCCCCACAACGAAGAGAAGTGCTACCAATTGGAGTAAACCACTTGCTCAGACTGAGGCAAAATGCAGAGTGAATTCAAACGGCCAGGCCTTTTAGCTCCTAATGCTCTCTCCTATCTGGTCCTCCTTGACACATAAAGAAACGCAAGGCCAGCTCGCGTGAACGCGAGCTGTGCCGTAATCACATGCAGTGTCGTGGCAGCTCTGGGATGCTGCAAATGTCTCGTCATCAGGCACTGCTCCACGCAACTATGTTCGTCGGCTTGATTGGTGACACCTGAAGAGCAGGCCGTTGATGATTGTAGATATCGCTGAGTTCTGCCACTGCATTTGGCGCAGCCATTACACTGTGTTCCTATCCAACCAGCAGTTGCATCGAACAGTTCCATTAGCAACTTGAATCCCCCATGTATTTGCATCGGCATTAACTAATACAGAATTTGCTAAATTACTATTTTGTAAAGCACTTACAGTAAGAGTTACCAAATTTCCAATCGACTTAAAATTTGGTTGAGACGCAGTCTGTAATGTTCCTGTAATAGATGTAGCCGACAATGATGTAATCCCAGTAATTGCCCCAGATCTGTTTAAAACGAGCGCTTTACTTGCTGAAGCTGTTCCAGCTGTAGTACCCATCAGATAAGCTGCTTCTGTTCCCGTAAGCGTAGAAACACCAATAATAAGTGATGAAAGCGTTCGATCGATGTAATATTTGGTTGAGCTGCTGTTTGTAACGTTCCTGTAAGATTCACTGCAGTTAAATTACGAAATGACGTGATGTCTTTGTTCGCATCAACCATTAGAAGCTTCGACGCCGTGACTATTCCTGCTGTGATTTCAGACAATGGACTGAAATTGATTGCGGATCCAGAAATAGTTAGAGATCCACAATCAAGATTTCCTGCTACAGAAACGGAACTGAAAACATTTGTTCCGTATCTTTGATCGCCTGTAGCAAAAGTAAGGTAGTCATTTGATGAGTTAAAGAAAGAGGTATTGAATAGAGGGGAATTGATAATTGGAGGGAGAGATATTTTTTATCACTATACTATAAGATGCAAAATTTCATCAAATCCATAATAAAGTCGAAGATGAAGAAGTTCCCAAAGAACGATCACTTTAAGTTGCCATTTCGCATGTGCGTGGCCACTCCTAGTGGATCAGGGAAATCAAATACCGCTCTCTCATAATTGCCCTTCTAAGCAAATGCTTTACCAAAATCGTCAAATGCACAAAAACAAATGAGACACTCTACAATCATCTTCAAGACACTATTGACAACGTCCGGGTGATCGAGAAAGGAATGGTACCAGCAATGAGTAAATACGATTCTGAGACTAGCAAGTTGATAATCTTTGATGACTTAGGCATGGAGCCAAAAAGAACTCAAGCTCAGATCTCACTGTACTTCATCCGAGGACGGAAGCAAGGCTGGTCAATGATTTACATTTCACAGAGTTACTTCCGAATTCCGAAAACGATTCGAATTAATAGTCAATATGTGATTCTTGATCGAAATCTTACTCAACGAGACCTTGGTATTATCTGTCGTGACTTCCCCGCTGACATCCCAATTAAAACACTCATCGATCTATACAAACGAACAATATCCGAAAAAATGACTACCATGCTAATGGATATCACTGATAGAAAAATATATCGCAATGTTATTGAGTTCATATGCGACTGATAAGTTGCTTACTCACTAATACTTTTTTTAGCTCCGCGATGCGCTTCCGAGGTCGGATGAGCAATCTAATGCTTACGTTTTTATCAATAATACCAAGCGGGATCACATTTTGATCAAGGAACGATAGCGTCAGTTCCGAATTAGTTCCCTGCATTGGCCAATAGGATAACCCCTGATCTCGTGACGTTGTGATCATGCCGCCATACCCGTACCGACAAGTTACTTGGTTCGACGGGTAGGGCGGAAGGTTGATAAAATATCTTCCTGTTGACGGGAAGTGCGTCGGCTCTCATAGAAAAGAATTCCGCACGTACGTCTATGGGTAAAGTATCGAGTAGGCTTCCTGCACGTTGTCCGACCGTGGCTCTGCGACGAATTCTTGCCAAAGTCGCTGTCTCGCGGCCTTGGACAACGGTGTCATACTTTCAAATCTCGTGAACTTCATAGAATTCTCTGTTGGGATTACCATCTCGCTCCTTGTAGTGCAAGGCCACGGTGTTCTAGAGCCAAGTCAACCCCTGCAGAAGTAAATGTGTGCAATACTTGAATATTGTTTGCAATTGGATTGTACAGATTTGAACAAGTGATAACAACTGCGGCGGTCGGATCGATTTGATGAACTAGATTACTATTAACCGCATAAACACTTGTTGTTTGAGCCGCGGGATACGTAGCTGGACTGAGCCCAATGATAGAACCAAATGAGGAATCGACTACCTGGAGCTGAGGGGTATAAGCACTGACTGGCATTGTAGGAAAGCCACTTGCAGCAGTGTAGCCTGTGATATTCTTGACTGGTTGCATTATGAATTGAATAGCCCATAACTCGATGGGTTCTCAGCACATGAGATGAAATAGTAGTTTGATCCGGTCGTATTGTTTGTCAAATAGAGATTGTTTTGGAATATACCAATATTGAAGGTAGTTATTAATGTCGCTTGCCGAGTAGGTGCTACCAGGGAGCGTAATTGTGTATGTCGTTGTCGTCGAAGTTGTCAGCCATATGATCTTAAAACTGTTACGCTATGCAGTAATTGCTCGCCAGGAGTAGTAGATGGATATTGATCCTAGTGCAATTTCATACTGACTGAAGTCGATTGGCTGCGAGAATCGATATCGGAACTGATGAGTAGCCACCTGGTTATTGAGATTTAACAAAATCGGAAAGCTCATTTTATCTACTAGTATCTACTAACCAAAAGAAAGAAAAATGCATCGACGAAAGAGAAATCGACGACAATTGAAGCCCCAAGCAATGGAGATCGATGGATCAGGCGAAGTGGATCACTCGAAACCTGTAGCTCCATCTAAAAATGACTATCGCTCAACGGATATTGAAACACTGTCGAATCAACTTCAGAAGATTAGCGTTAGTCATCTTGTCAAGGAGCAAAAAAGATAAAGAAACCTCGTTATATTGATACTTCAAAGCTGCTCAACTTCAAACGCGAGTCTAAGAGATCGTCGTCATAAGGTCTTTCACTATAGATAGCGCTTACTCAACCAATCTGGTGTAAATCTTGTGTCGAGTGTAATATCTTGCTCGTCGATCACGATCATAGTGATCAAGATGCTGATATGCCTTAAGTGGCGTTCGGTCCTTATATTGAGCATAACGAGAATCCCCAAAATCAATCTTTTCACCATTGCTGAGTATCACTCGATACTTCTTATTCTTTTTTGGTGAGAGCATCCATGACTTTATGTTAGACATCGTATATATAAGCTCAAGATTGTTATTGAGTCTACGCGAGCTAACGCTTCATCAGACGCTTAAATTGACTGTAGTATGAGGTCGAAAATACGATTTTCTTATAAAGATTGTCCAAATGGAGTTCATCTCAATTTTTATTGACGGGTTATCGTCTCCGATTCAATTTGCGCCTTCAAACACCTTTAAGCGTTTTACGAAACCATCAAGAAGCTGATTATACGCACTTTCAAACCCTCGTGAAGTAATTTTACACTTGTTCAAACAATACCGCATGGAATCATGCTCCTGCTCGTCTAAAAGATCGAACAGGGCTTTAATGAACTGCCTATCTTCTCCTATCAGCCACCAGAGATCCACGAATGCCTGAGAGACAAGTATTGTTTTGATATTTACTTGGTATTTGTCACCTCGTAAGCAAGCTTGAAGTCCATGGAATTCCACATGGAATGGACCAGCTTTACGGTATGCTCTCTTTTGTTTTTGCTCCATGATCGCTTTGTATGATTAGCAAACAAATTATTTCTCGTCGACATAAATCTCAAGTGTTTTGTCGCTACCTGAAGGCGTGAAATCACCATGGAATATGCGTTCCCGACGGTATCTAGGTCTGCTTGGAGTCTTTGCAGCAGGCTTTGCAACAGTTGCTGGCTCAAACTCAAACGATGTCTCTGGTTCAAATTATGTATCTGGCTCAACTGATGCAATTTGCTTGAATGCATTTGATAGATTTGCGATTTTGTTGTAGCTTGTGTTAGCAGCCATGGTGCTGTGGAGTAGCTTAGCATGTAAATCATTCTTCTCGCGATTGGTGGGCTTAGCATATGTTGGAGATTGAATTAAATGAGACTCAGCAATGTGTCGAATCATAATTCATTGACATTGGATTTCCATTGTACTTCATGAACAGTTTTGATATGGCCTGACTGAAGCTATTGCTCGAGCTTGGATAATCGTACTCACCTGGCTGTCTATTGAACATGCGCCACGGGAGTTTGCTAGGTTGCTGTTTAACCGTGTTTGTCAAGAACTCAAGGTATGACTTGATCAAGCTCATCGTAGTACTATCCAACTGAATCGTTTGCGGTCCCATGAGCCGAACATTCTTGAAATCATGCAGATGTAAAACGTTCCCTTGAAGATACTTAACACCTTCCTCAGGAATGAGCATGACACTTGGCCATACCAAACGTAGTGGATAACGCACGTTCAACCACAACGTAATGTAATCAAACACTGGCTGCAAGTAATCAGTTCTCTTAGCTTTGGCCAACTGCTCGAACTCGGATCGAGAGAGAAATATTTTACCGTATGTTTCGTTAAGCACCTTCACGACTTTACCAGGGACAGACATAAGCTCTTCATAGCTGATGCATTTCTTCTCTTCTTCGGGTGTCGGTTCGCCATCCAGCTTTGGATCCTTGTTTTGCTTACTCAGTTCCTTTCGAATCGTATTGTAGTATCCAAAAGCATCCCGGTATCTGTTCTTGCATTCGATGTTAGAATCATACTCTCTTTGCTCGTGTAGATGCTCATCAGAAGCGCAACAATCGTCGAGTTCTGTACCTTGAATGTCTTTTGGAAGGAAGCGTCGTCGTATTTGTTAGGATACTGAATATTGGCGATGAACTCATTTGGGGACCATTGCTCTTTCGCAATCCCCGCTTTGTAGAGCTTGATCAGTTGCTGGTGTCTAACTTAATCGTAGTGTCCGATAGATTGTCCTGCTTCCTATATTAATATCACGAGTAAGCATTGGATCCAATACTTGGATGTTTCCCAGTCATTGAACACTTTCAATGCAGCGGCTTGATCAAATCAATCTGTCATTGTTTTGATAATGCACAAATATGTCTTCCGCATTAAGCCAAGATCGATGTGTTGCTTGCGATATAGCACACCAGGCAAGTTCCAAGTATCACAGTACCACGATCTCTCCATCATACAGCATAGTTTGTATACATGCTGATCGTTTAGTCCATTTGACACACAATATTCTACAAGATTAAGTTTCTCATAAAGCCCTAAGAAGGCTTCTTTGTCCTCATCTGATTTGAAGTAGATACGCTTACGCGAGGTTACTTTGTCATCTTCTCGATTTTCAAGTTGGATTGGTGAGATATAACCCTGGCTGAATAATACTTGTGGATCTGAATTCTTAATGCTTTGATGATCGATTGGTATTTCCCCGAGCGCCAAGCATCGGTTACTTCAGAAAACTTCAGAATGTCTTTATTCTCGTATTCAAGTCCATAAGTATCCCAAGTAATGCCCTTTGTCTCTGCATCAGTTCTAGTCGAGGTCACTTCATTCTCAGAATCGTCCGAATTCAATAATTGCTCCGATTCTGAATTATATTCCTCCTTATATAACGCGCTATCCGCGATCATCGGTTCGACAATCGACTCATCCACATTTGGAGCTTCACTTACTTTGACATTCGAGGCCTCGACGGGTTCGATCACCGATGGCGCTGGTGTATCAACAACCTCAGCGACGACTGGGGTATTGACTTGTGGTGACATTTCTTCTACTATATTACTCTCCACGACAATATTTTCCCGATCCATAATAATTGGATGCTTGCCGCGCTGCGAGCTAGCAAACACTGTTCTCCGTTCTTTTTGATAAAGTTGCACATTGTTATATTACTAAAGTTATATTTTTATATTCTATATATTCGTCGCTTAAGATCATATATTTTTTATGATGTCTTCGTGCGGGGATCCCGCCATGAAGTCACATTAGCGAGTGGATCATATGACTTGTATACATGTTAAATGTGTCGAGTATGTCCGTAAAAATCTTACCTCGCACGAAACAATGACCGAGACAAGGTTTGGTTCATCTAATATCAATAGGAGATAGATTTTAGATGAAAGTGTGAGTCATAGCAAAATACTCACAATTAGAGCATGTCGATAGTTCCTATAGTAACTTTATATCATTAGTAAATATTTGTGAGTATGTGAGTATGTGAGTATTGGGATAGATAAGCCATAAATACATATAGGGGTCTAATGAAATAATGTAAATATTTAGACTGGCTAAAAAAGGCCATTTTTTAATACTCACATACCCACAAATTCAAGAGATGTGACATACACGACGGCCCTTAATTTTTTTGATAAAAACCTGTGAGTATTAAAACAATATACTCACCCAGTTTTCGCATCTAGAGTCACTGTGCAATGTCACAATAGAATTTGGTCCATACCGGTAGAAAAAACGGTTTTCCACAGCGTAGTTTCACTGATGAATCATGGCAGCAACTAAAGAATTCATGATTTTTTGTTTAATCAGATCATGAATTCATGGTAGTTTCACAAAGCGGAGTTTCAGACTCAGCAGAGCCGCATGAATCCATGACAGTGCTTTTTTCTGTTAAAGACTATCGATGACAAGATCCATGACGATGCGCAGATCGACACGAGCTGTTGGGCTCCTGGACCGAGGAAGAGCTGCATTCGGGGGGATCGATAATATTCTGCGCATGTCGAAGGTGACATTGACAGCAGCTCCAGCAGCTGCATGTCGAAATGTTCCGCTCGCTGTTGGTCTGATGGTTGGGTGTGGTCGAGTCGTACTGTCATAGAGCGCATATCGAATCTGAGTACCAGGGGCACTGATTTTCAATAGCAGCACATACTGGATCCCAGTATAACCGCACCACCATCTGGCAGCACCTTTCAGACTTGCCCAAGATTGAGATCGTCCAACCTCCACTGCCAGTGTCACCCAATCGGTAACGGTGCGAAGTGCCGGTGCCGGTGCTCGGTTGAGCGTAGTTCTCTTTGGGCCAAAACTCGTATCGGCCTCCTTGTTCGGGTTGCCAGCTCTTCTCGCTGTCATCGAGCGGCAACTTGCAACCTCGAGATCATTGCCTGATGCCCGATTGAACATTTTCTCGAAAGATGCCGCTGTGCTTTCATGTACTGTCGTCGGAAGCTCAACAATCACGATACGCTCATCGTTGAGGGCGAGAAATCGAAGTGGAATCCGCAGTCCTTCACCGTCTCCAACATACGTATTGAACGCAGTAACGGAGACTCCCTCAATTTCGTCGTCATCTTGATCGAAGTAACTCGCAATCACTTCAAGCTTCAGCGCATCCATGACGCCGCGGATCTCATTGGCGGTTTTTGAAGTCGTCATACTTGCTGCAACTGTTGATGTTGGCCGGACCACGTGGTATATTGCGCTGGAAGAACAATACGAACCCCCGGGGGAGAAAAAACCGGTTTTCTTCGTCCGCTCATCCGCTCATTGTCCGCTCAGGAATAGCATCGAGCGTACCCCTAGATGCCTTATTATACGTTGCGTGAGCGGACAGTGAGCGGACGAGCGGACGATGAAAACCGGTTTTTCCCTCTTCCCATTAAATGGGAAAGGAAATTTTCGAGAAAGAGAAAATGAGCACATGCTGCGACGGGGATTCGTATTGTTCTTCCAGTGCAATATACGACGTGGTACGGCCAACATCAGCTGCAACAAGCATGACGACTTTGAAGACCGCTGATGATATTCGCGTCGCCATCGATGCGCTGGAGCTTGATGCGGTTGCGAGTTATTTCGACAACGATGACGATGAAATCGATCCGTACGTCGTGTGTGAGGGAGTCTCCATTGCTGCTTTCAATGAGTATGTTGGAGACGGCGAAGGGCTGCGGATTCGACTTCGATTTCTCGCCCTTAGTGATGGGCGTCTCGTGATTGTTGAGCTTCCGACGACAGTACATGAAAGCACAGCGGAGGAGTTCAAGTCCGAGTTTCTGGCTGCGACGGGAAATCGACGCGAGCTTGGAAAATGTGGCTCAATGACAGCGAGAAGAGCTGCCAACCCGAACAAGGAGGCTGATGCGACTTTTGGCCCAAAGAGAACTACGCTCAACCGAGCACCGGCACCGGCACTTCGCACCGTTACCGATTGGGTGACACTGGCAGTGGAGGTTGGACGATCTCAATCTTGGGCAAGTCTGAAAGGTGCTGCCAGATGGTGGTGCGGTTATACTGGGATCCAGTATGTGCTGCTATTGAAAATCAGTGCCCCTGGTACTCAGATTCGATATGCGCTCTATGACAGTACGACTCGACCACACCCAACCATCAGACCAACAGCGAGCGGAACATTTCGACATGCAGCTGCTGGAGCTGCTGTCAATGTCACCTTCGACATGCGCAGAATATTATCGATCCCCCCGAATGCAGCTCTTCCACCTGGCGTGAACCCAACAGCTCGTGTCGATCTGCGCATCGTCATGGATCTTGTCATCGATAGTCTTTAACAGAAAAAAGCACTGTCATGGATTCATGCGGCTCTGCTGAGTCTGAAACTCCGCTTTGTGAAACTACCATGAATTCATGATCTGATTAAACAAAAAATCATGAATTCTTTAGTTGCTGCCATGATTCATCAGTGAAACTACGCTGTGGAAAACCGTTTTTTCTACCGGTATGGACCAAATTCTATTGTGACATGCACAGTGACTCTAAGTGTGAATACTTTGTGAGTATTTTTTATAAAACTCACCGATTATGACCAAAAAATAACATGTAACGAGAAGGATCGTCCTATGTAAATTTGTGAGTTTGTGATTATTTTAAAAGTGGCCTTACTCCATATATTTTGCTTTTGTATGAATGGGACCTTCCATCTATTTTTATACGTGGTAAATTTATCCCAATACTCACAAACTCACATACTCACATTTATTTATATTGAAAAAAAGATAACTATAGGATCTATTTAAATGATCTAAGTGAAAGCTTTGTGAGTATTTTTCTTTTACTCACTCTTTCATCTAAAATCTATCTCCTATTGATATTAGATAAACCAATCCTTGTTTCGTTTATTGTTTCGAGTGAGGCAATACTTTTACGGACATCCTCGATACATCGAAGATGAACCCAAGTCATGATCCACTCGCTTAGGGCGGGGATTTCCGAGTATGACATCATAAAAAATTATGATCTTAAGCGACGAATATATAATATAAAAACATAACCTTAGTAATATAACAATGTGCAGCTTTATTAAAGCAGAGCTGTGGAAATATAGATTGTTTATTTATTGCTCTCCCCAATGTATCATAATCAATTATTGCAATATTTACAATCTTAAGTGGGGTGATTGTCAATAGATTGGTGCATCCATTAAATTATGTCACTGTCATCTACGTGGTTGCTCCACTCTTTATTCTTGGCGTTTTCAATCGCAGCTGATACGGACCCGAGTGTAACCAGGTCCCGGTTTAGCCTTAGAAACATTACCGTTTCCAAAGACCGTTTTTTTCATACTTTTCAGTCGGTAACCTATGGAGCTAAATCGCTCCACCACCACGGATGTCGCCGGAATCCAATTAGTTTCGATGTACTTGGACTCCTTAGTCCCACGATTTCGTGCCGTCTTAGCGATGGGTTGGTCAAGCACCTCAGCGGTTCTCTTTCGCTTCGAGCGCGACGCTGGTACAGTATCTCGCCGTTGGTCAGGTTGCCTGGCCGGTGAGCGCAGTAAACGAGCTTTGCATGTCTCTCCGTTACAAGCAGCGTTTGTTTCGGCTCCACATTGAATCTTGGCCAACCCTGTTTCAAAGTCTGGACACTCAATCACTTCTCCACCAGGGGCCAAATAGTAATTCATGTCATCATAGTCATCCAAAACAACATCGAAGATGTCGCGAACGGTAGTAGCTGTCATATCCTGACGTTGAAGCCGGCATGTTATCACGTCAAAATGCAGTCTTTTTGTTGAATAGCGCAAAGGTTTTTTGCTGCTCACTTGGTGAGGGTATGAGGTAAACCAGTGGAATACGCCGGAGGTTTTCGGTATTTGGATTGGTAGTGGAGTCGTCACCGTCCCTGTCGTCGTCTTCGACCGTACAGTCGTCCATGAACAGGTGCTAATTCGGCTGCAGATCCTCAAAGCGCTTCAACACGCGGTAGGCGCCGCTCCATCGAAGTTTGTGCAGTGGAATAGGTTTGTAATAACATCCATGCAGTTTCAGCTTAGCCACCCTCTTCACAGTCTTCAGCTTCTTCATTAAAGCGCTAACCTTCTTAATGAGAGGCATCTGCGGCTCTAACCATTTGCGAAATTGGATGTGCGGCCCACCGCTTCAATTGCAAGATTGAAGTGGTGGGCCGCACATCCAATCAATTGAACCGAAATTCGACGGGAAATCGCTCTATTGGTTTCCATGTTAACGGCTACGATGGCGACCATATTATCGATTTCCAGGTTGTAGTGATCGAGTCCCCTGTCTAAGAATTCAATGTGCTCAGCTGCAGTCATCGACACCTCATCTAGAAAGGGGGAGAATGCCAGGAAGCGTATGCCATTTTTCGTGGAAGCGAAAATGGCAATAGCGTGCTCGGCAGCAGCCGTGAAGCCGTCAAAGACAAGAGCACCCGATAGCTCATCCATTATCTTGACGTCCACCACGCCAACGAGCGAAATCATTCGCTTGAGTAGGGTCTTGCGATCCATTGCTTTGTAGCGTACGGCAGCACGTATCGCAGGGTCGTCGGTATACGCAAACGAAAATTTCCTGAGCGCAACGAGCTTGGCCCAGTCGTACGTATCAGCAGCATCCTTGTGAGCGAACATGCTGCTCATAGGAGCACATGATTTCATAATGCACTCAGCCGCCGCATCTTCATACCCACTGTGGTGGGCCTGAAGGTGCGAGATGGGGTTTTAGTAGCCAGCTTGTTAGGGTTGTTTGACGGCTAGATCGCATATACAGCAAGTGCGATCAGTGGTAGTTGTGTTCTTGAGCTGCACGCGTACAATATCGGCGCTTTTCATGTTAAAGCGACAGCTGAGAGGTGCTGGAGGTAGACAGCGATTGGAAAAATAAATTGGTCTATCCGCCGGAAAATTATTGCAATAGCTGCGGCATCCCCGAAATAAAAATACTCAATTGCATGACTAACCGAAACTGCAATACCAAATTGCAACACTACCTACCATTTCCAACTGTATACATTTTTATACTTTGCTAAGTTCACAGGCACATTGTGAACGCTCTTGGTTGCTTTGGCCAAAAGTCTAGAATCCCAATAAGCGCGGTTAGTCTTTAAGAAACAGCTCGTCGAGTGATGGAAAGAATGCCAGTAGCACTTCCTTGCAATCTCCTTTAACTACAAACACTGCAATCAAAGCGATGTAGTGGTAGATCCATCCTTCCAACCGTCGAACATGATCGCAAATTTCACTGGTAAAACATTGGCTATGACGGCCTCGACTAACGGCAGCAGCGCATAATGTAGCTCTTTATAGAGCGACTAAATACATGATCAGTATACTTAAGTCCAGCGAGCTCTCGGGTGAGCTCGTTGTCCACCTCACATATGCCCATTTTCCGCATGACAACCCATACCAACCACTTGAAGACAACAAATTCACGTTCGCTTACGTAGTCGACGACTTGAAATCCCAGATCGTTTTACCTCGTTTTTATCGCTTCAACGTGTCTGTCCTTAAAACGCTTGCCCTGGCAGTGCCTATACAGATTCGTGTTTCCAGTCTTCCATCGCGGTGCTGGTGTAGATCTGCACTTAATGCAAGTGTATAAAACTTCCCCTCCCGAGCCGTTTACATCGTAGAAAAACTTGACGATGTCTGGAATCAGTCTTCGTCGAGCCCTATTATTAGTGAATGTCATGATTTTTCTTGAGCGAGGAGGACGACGGTGATGAAGAGATGATGCTGGGCTTCGAGAATAGCTGGTGAAGGTAAGTTTTACTCGAGCCTGAGTAAGATGAAGAATGAGAGACCGAACGCCACTGCCAGCCGCGTTGCTTCTATACCGAGGCTTGTGTCTATGCCATAGTCCTCTGTACCACCCAGGTATCCAGGAATCCTCTAAAAAAGGCCTTAGCTTGAAGTTGCTTACATATGGAAATTGCAATTTTGAAGAGCAATGCATTATTGCAAGGTGATAAAGTATAAAATGTAAATTGGAGAGAACGGAGGTATTGCAGTGTAAATTGCAAGTCGACGTTCGACTGCAATTCTCATTACGTTACTGCGAGCGTAGACTGCAATAGCAGTGTTTATGAAAAATCGTTGCAAGCATATTTTTCCTATCACTGGAGGTAGGTAGTGGAATAACAGGATGGAAATCGTAAAATGAGGAGGCTGGTAAATAGAGGAAGTGCCCAGAACCATAGTTTTGGCGCGAAGAGCGCGCGAACCATCGCGTTTTCCCTGTGGGTTCGTTTGAGACAATCATATTGGTGGATCAATATTCAATGGCCTGTAGGAGTGTAGCGGCAATATTGTCAATAAGATTGTGGATTGTGAAATTGATCCAATCAATAATTGCAATCAACAATATCGCTCAATCGGGCAATCACAATACACTCTTCCTCAGCTCTGTTATTAAAGGCAACGGAGAAAAGTGCAAACTGGCTTGCAAGAAGGATCATTGCGGCAAGCATCAAACTATTATTGACCGAGAGGAAATTATTGTCGAGGGAACTAATATAGTTGAAGAAATGCCGCCTCAACCTAGTATCCCAGCTACATGTATTGGTGAGGTGATTCATACACCAAAACCATCGGCAACCAAGCCCGTCGAAGCCTCGAGTCTTGAATTAAGCAATGTTCCAGATTTGAATCAGTCGATTGTCGCACCGGCGATCGCGGATGGCATGGTTTATAAAGAGGATTATAGCTCAGATTTGGAATTAATGAAATCTGATGCCAAGGCTAAGGGTATTACTTGGGATACTTGCGGACTTGAATACGACAATAAATACATTCTGAGGGTTTCTGAAGTAACATAGTGCGTCTGAAGTGATGCATGGCGCTCACTTGCGAAGGAAATACCAATCGATCATCAAAGTATTAAAAATGCAAATCCACAAGTATTATTTGATCAGGGATATATCTCACCAATCCAACTTGAAAATCGAAAAGATGGTAAAGTAACCTCGCGTAAGCGTATTTACTTCAAATCAAATGAGGACAAAGAGTCCTTCTTAGAGCTTTATGAGAAACTTAATTTCGTAGAACATTGTGTGATAAGCGGGCTATACGATCAGCGTCTATACAAACTATGTTGCACGATGAAGAGAGATTAATACTGTAATAACAACAACACGTGGAACTTGGCTGGCATGTTTTATCGTATGCAACACGTCGATCTTGGCTTAATGCGTAAGACATACTTGTGTATTCTCAAAACAATGACAGATCGATTTGATCAAGCCGCTGCGTTGAAAGTATTCAATGATTGGGAAACATCCAAGTATCATCCAAAGCTATCTGAGTCTCAAATCAAATCTATTGCTGGTGGGACTAATCCAATTGAATACAATAGATGGTAAGAAGAATACGAGCCAAAGGAAATCAAACAAAAGAAAGATGACAAAGAAAAAAAAAACGCTTTTGGATATTCTCAACTAGAAGCTGATTGATCTTGTCAAAAACAAATATACGCGTGAATTTCAATCTGGTGTAATCTATGCGAATGTACTTCCATATTACTATGTTCGTAAATACGACGAGCCGGCTATAATACATTTCTAAATGTAGTATTCGCAACTGAGCCTCTATTTCATATGTGCAAATCACAAGATCACCAGCAATTATTTTACTTCATCAAGAACATTTTTAATCCGAACTTTGAGTTCATTAAACTAGATTAGAACTATGTTGGATTCAAGAATGGTATCTACGATCTGTCGAATGCCACGTTTATTTTGACCGCTGATATCGTAGAGAATATTCAGGTTCGAACATACATTGACTTGGAATTTTGAGATTGACAATGACTATGCTCCTCTACTTGATCAGTACTTGAGATTTCCGAAACTATCGAGTTTATCTATTTTATGATTGGTCGCTCGATGACTAAAGCTAAACGATAAATTTGATTTCATGGTATTCCTATTTGGTGAGGACGGTTCAGGTAAATCACTTTTAATGAATCTTGTAAAGTATTCATTTGCTCATGATCAAGTTGAAATTTTATCCAAATCCCACCAAGAGCAAACAAATTCTATGCTGTGATGATATGAATAATCATGCTAAGACTCTATCAAAGGCTGCTTTCTTGAGTTATGGGAACGCGTGGTTTAGTTTAATGTCCTATGAAAGGAAAAGGCTCGATATCTTCCTTCCATGACTGGGATATTCCAACAATTATCAATAGCAACAAACTACCAAACTATAAAGATGAATCTGGTGAAGTAGTTCGTCGTTTCATGGTTGCTAACTTGCGAAAATCACTACGGAAGAAAGCAAAAACACGAATCTTGAAAATGAGATCAAAGACAAGGAATTCGGCGTCTTTCTACACCGCTGTCGACCAACTTTTCTGAAGTTTTGTTCCAGATACAAGAACAAGGGGGTTGGGACGTTTTGTCCGGTATCGTTCATTGAGAGCCGCAACCTTCTTCGTATGGCTACGAATAACACTTACCAATTCATCTTTGATAGATGTAAATACGAAGGAGGTACTTTTACCTCTGTTCCTCAGTTGAATAAAGCTATGAAAGCGTATATCAACGAAAAATATGAAATGAAGCAAGCATTCAAGGATACAATCAATATTACAAATATTATGCTCGTAGATAATCGATATGTAGAGAAAAAATTGAACATCTGTAAGAGTTGTCGCAAGGAACACAAAAAAGGATGCTGCGATAAATACGATCGTCTTAATCGATCAAAATCTCATGTTATTCTAAATATCACGCTCTCTTATGGGATTCCTGATGATGATTAGTTAGTCATGCGCAAAGACAAAAAAAAGGTTGAGCTAATACTAAACCTACGGGGTTGATTGAGCTTCCGCCCATCTGATATGCTTTTAAGACTTGAAGTGATACGTTCTGCCTCTATGTTAGGGGGAGTCGAACACTAAGAAATGATAAAAAAAATAAGCAGAGACGTGTCCGATTTGTAAGCGGAGGAGTGTACAATTAAAGAGCAGAAACAGTAATAGGGGTGTCGAACAAAGAGGCTCAATTTCGCACTAAGAAGAGACAATTTGCATTTTCTAAACCGACAACTCGCACAGACACTGCTGTGGCGCCGCCACAGGCTACAGCGGCCCGTGCCCTGGTGCACTGTCGCCGTGATATGAGTGCAGCCTTCTGTGCGGCATCTAACTCATAAATGTGTTTTGCACGACGCGCCTTGAGACGTCCGACTTCTGGCCGGAGACGGGAGCAGAGCGGCGCAGCCATTCACGCGCCTTCCTCCATTTCCATTCCGGTCTGATCGGTGCGACTCGGTGGGATGGAGGATTATTTAAGAAATAAAAAGGGCTAGCTCATTTCAAATGTAAGCCACCTCCGGAGATGGCTTCCTTTGAAAGTGAGCAGGTTATTGTCAAAAATGTGACCGTAATCCACAGGTAATTTTGAGCACTTTTTTGTAATGTTCGACTTCTCCTATTGGTAACGACCGCCACATTCACATGTAACCTTCTTGACAAGTCTCGCTTCATGAAGCTCATTGTATTGCTTGTTTTTTTCATTGAGCACTTCTTTATTGACTTCCCAGTATTTTTTGCATTCGTTTTTTGCTTTTTCAACAGCCCAAATGATGGTATCTTTTTCATACAAGGCTTCTTAAATTTGTTGATCCATAACGTTTCGTAGACATGCAGCTGGTGTCTATCGGCAACCTCATACTGCTTGATCAATATAATATTAAGCTCATACGGGCCATACTTTCGGAAGTATGGGTAAATTGCAATTTCACTTGTTGTTTTCCCTTCATCTCATCGTTTAAACTGAGATCGAACGTAAACTGAGATCACACGATGCTTTAATAGGCTGAAAGTAGATCCACTCAATGACATGACCAGACTTCTTGCAGTAGCGACATCGCTTGCTAGACGACGAAGAAGAAGCAGAACGGCGGTTTCTAGTACTCCCTGGGTCAAATTCCATTGGCTCGCGTTCGCTCTCCTGAACACGCGTAAGCGTGGCTTGTTGTTGGTGCGAATTGTTGTTGGACTGAAAGCGTGATCGGTCCTGCTAAAAGAACGGTGGACGATAGTTCTTACCGTGGACATGATGCGATCGGGCATACTCCAAAGTAATCCTCATTGTCTGTGACACTGTTGTAGAGCGACGATATTGCACTTTTTCACGCGTAGGACTGACGATTCCATGTGTGAAGTAAGTGATCTTGCCCAACTCACTCATGCTTGTCACTTGCATGATGGCTTCACGGAAGCAAGAGATGAAATCTATCAAGCTAGAACCATTTTTCTGCTTGAGCGCGTACAGCTGATCCCGTAAGCGCTCTTGCAAATCCGGAGGCACGAATTCATTAATCAATCTGGTCATAATGTCCTGCATGTCCTTGATATCACGCTTGTTCAGCTTGTACCAAGCGGCAGCATTTCCTTTAAAGTTCGCAGTAATATGCCAAAATTCGAGGACTTTGGTTGTCGTTTTGCCAATCGATGTTTTTGGCTTCAAAGTACTGATCAAGTTGCTCGAAGTACAAATAAACAGGTTCTCCCATCTTGTTGTAAAATTGTGGCAAACGGATACCTTCCACTTTCACTCCACGTTTATTCATGGTTTCAAGCAGCTGTTGTTGCTTATATACCATTTCGATGAGTTTCTGCGTGAGAGCGTCAGTAGACCATCCTTGAGGATTTAAGGAAGTCATGATTTGGTGAAAAAAAGTTCACTTATTTAGTTAAAGCTTGCGATGTTTCTTTGCCGAGTGTTCGGTGTACTTAAAGCAACGGACTTGTCGCTCGACCTCTACCAGGGCGTTAAACAACCCGATTTGTTTGTCTTTAAAACGACGACGCAGACGGTCACTCTCGACCAAGGCCAGATCAGACGCAAAAAATTCGTCGATTGTTTGGTGTAGCTGATCTAACGACTCAACGAAAGTACGGCAGACGTTGTTTACCCTTTCCTCAGGCAGGGCTTTGATTATTTCGTCGTTCAAACATCCGAAGTATTCGTCAAATCGACGTTTACGAGACTCTTCACTCGACATACACTAGTGCTATCGACGACGTGGACGCTCGGGCTCAAGTGCGAGCCGACGAGAAACGTATTCCAGGATTTTCCTATCCGGATACGCGCTAATTGGTCGGCCAGACGAGTAATCAATAGATTCGAAAGGTTTAGGAAACCATTTTGTGCGTGATGATCTGTGGCGTCAGGGATCAGATTTCGCAGGGGTTTTACAAAGCGGAAGTGATGATCGACACCGAGCCCAAAAGTGCTGCGAATAGAAGCGGCAGCCTCGGCGTGTTTGAGCTTATCGAAAAGCTCGGCGATAGAGTGACGGAACGGATAATCCCGTTCTTTGAACTCGGGCATACGCGGACAGTGACGAGGTGTGCAGGTACTAACTTATCCGGTTCTTATAGACCAGACACTTAGGCCCTTGTCCAAGTGGCACCACGTGTTTTAGGTCTGCATGGGGTTAGGTTTAATCTCGCCAGATATAAATGTGTTTTGTGTCAAGTCACACCAGGCTTAGCCTAGTCCAAGTAAGTACCAACCAAACAAAAGGCAGCCAGTGGCACTCAGGCGGTGGTGGCTCCGCATACATCAAACACATCAGAGGGTCAGTGAATGCGCACCAATACGCTACCCCGACTTCCGGTATCGTCAGGGACGCGTCGTCCGGGTGTCACATGAATCCCACAGCCTCCACGCCATTAAAAACGCCTTCATTTACCGCGGTCGCTCCAGTGCAGAGTGAAGATCCTGCGTGGACCAGCAGTGTCACGATGAGCTCTTTCCCTGGCTTAATTGTTGTTGGGAGAACTAGAGACGACAAGACGCTGGTGCCAGGGGTGTACAACACGTCAGCGAGCACCGCGTGCAGACAAACCGAACCACAACGGTTTTAAGGTAGAGGGAAGGAGCCAGATCGTTCTTGTTGCGCTCATTGCTTGCTCAAAGATAGTGGCTCGAAACCAGAAGGCGGGACACGAATGCTGCACCTGTCGACCGCTGTGATAACTGCGGCACAAGAGCAAGCACGAGCCACAACAGCAACAATGGCTGTCGATTCATCGTCCATGGGTTCTGGCACAAATGTGCTGTGACTGGCACACGAAGTTTTGGTGTTCTAAAAAAACGAGTCCCAGAACACGAACCAGCTAAAATGGTAAAGTGTACCAAAATTGATTCGCCAATCAAATCATTTTCTTAATGAAGTTCAGAACACGTGCTGCCACTTGGACAAGGGTCTTAGTGCAGTACACTCAATGATGACGTTGATTAGCGACGCGACGTAGGAGGACAGCTAAAGATTTGACGGTGAGGAGACGGCTCACACTCAACGAGCGACTTTCCGAGTGTCGACTACCAAAAACGCAAAGAGACGATTCCTCCTGGACTTCAACAAGTGCTACCAGATGTGACGACTGGTGAGAGCACGGCGAAGAGGAACAGCGACGAATGTAGAGTCGCGTGGCGAGGAACGAAGCGGAGGAGGGCGCCGAGAGTCCAACGGTGGGGACTCGAAGGTAAGGCGCAGGAGGCTACTTATATGCCTCGAAGAAGGTAAATTGGAAAGTGAGATTGAAATGGTTCGTTGTTTGTCGGCTACGAGGAAGTGCTAGTTAGCGTTCCCTACGTATCCTATGTAAGTATATGTATTTCATTATACTAGATTCTAGGTAGTCCTTGAGTCGAATCTTGAAGTAGCGTAGCGTAGTAATGAACCGCGGTTCAATTGAACCGGGTCAGAATCTCTTTAGTGAATTCAAATGGAAAAGAATGACTGTCATTAAAGGCTCCATGTTTGGCAATGCTCGTCCAAACATGGTGATTGCCTTTCGGACAGGCGTGTGGCTGCCTGGCCGCTTATTGGCAACATAAGAAGACAGTTGGTAGTCAGCAAAGACAAGTGGTGCAGCGGGACTGCCGTAGCTTTAGCGTCAGAGGAAGACGTTCGACTCAAAGAGTCACTAATATTAAGTTCCTTATCCGAAGGACACTTACAGCCCAAGACCAGGGCTCAAAGTTAATACCTTAACTTTATGCTTCAAAACCAGCAGTGTTTTATTTACTATTATTGCGGCCAAGCCGCCTAGGGGTAAATGTATCTCTTTAACTATCTAGCATAGTTAAACCTAATCAAATGCATAACGTGTGGCTTTCAGCCAACGTACTGAGAGACCTTGTTAACTCTCCAACTTATGTACTGAGAGTTTGTTAACTCTCCGGGTACTTCGTCCCCTGTGTGTTCCACACCATGTAACCCCGTTACACTCTCCCCCACTAAGATGAGAACATTCCGTTCTCGAAACGTTCCTCAGCGAGGTCACGTCTTGTTAAGACGGCGGAGGTTACTACACCCCACACCAGCGTTGTACAGATCCTTGAGCTCACAAACGCCTACGCATCGTTGATGCCCAACTTCTCGTCGTCGGCCCACAGTCCAATGTTCCAAGCGCAGTGCGCATCTTGCTCTCAAGCGGTCTCAGACCTACGCTCGCGCTCCGCGCCTACTCCAAGAGTTGCAAACCGCTTAGAGCAATGCTCTTGACTCATTCGAGTTGTCGACAACAGCTCAGCGGTTGAACACTCGCTTTACAAGCGATAGGTCGGTGGTTCGAACCCACCAAGGCACAGCCCTCTCATTCCATGAACGATTGTTCACGCTTGGACAAGCTTAAGGGCAACACCCTTTTAGCTCAGTGGTCGAGCGTTGGCTTGGAAGCCATAGGTCGGTGGTTCGAGCCCATCAGGGCACAGCCCTCTCGTTCCATGAACTGTTGTCCTT